CACACATAATTGTTGGTAAAAGTAACAACACAATCAAGAGAACGAGTTATACGACTGATGGACAACAGGTTAAAAGGAGACCCAGGGACATAAAGAACATTATCAATGGTTAAAGAAGGAAAAAGTTTAACCGTTCCAACACCATGAGATGATACTCTAGAGCCATCAGCCAGTGTAACAGAAGGTAAATGATTAGGAGAGGATAAAGAGGAGAACAAAGATTTGTTACCAGTAATATGATTAGTGACTCTTGAATCAAAAACCCAAGGACCAGGAGAAAATGATTGGGTCAGACCAGCAAAATATGTATTTGTATGTGTGATAGATATAGTGGAACTAGAAGACTGTTGATCCTTATACCATTCGAGAAATTTGTTGAACATAGCAGATATGTCGGATGCAACAGAAGAAGGAAGATCCCCTGCAGATAAAGGTGGGGAAAGATTGGTCTGAACAACTACAGCAGACTGAGGAGGATGACCATGTAATGTATAACACTTGTTAATCTTGTGACCTAACTTGCCACAATGTTCACACTTAGGACGCCCTTTTTCCTGTTTGCGAAGGCGAGCTCGGTCATCACGATGGGATGTCAACACAAAAGAATCGTTAACAAAATTGGAAATAGTGGAAGAAGTCATGAAGAGCGGGAGAACAAACCCTAAAACAATCCAAAGTAATCCAATTAACCCACGAAGCACAAATCCAAAATGAGAATACTAAAAATAAGTTTGCCAAGACTAAACGGTGCAACAGACAATGGGACGACCAACTCCGATAGTGGTCATCTCAATGGCACGGTGGTCACCTGACCGAGACAAGCAAAATCATATGTCACCGGTAAAAAAAAAATGAAACTCCGGCGAATTCTCCGACAGCGGTGGACCCGGTGACTGCTCCAGCGGCAGCGGTGACGATAACGTGAACTAGTACACTAGGTAAGTTCCCGGGAAAGAGAGGTGGGTCACTAATGGACACACTTAAATACCAAGTCTTTCCTTGCCGGAACTTTCCTAAACATGCACTTTCACACTACCAAATAAAATTCAATGACAAAGATAATTCTTTTCGATGTAGAGGATCGGTTTACCGCAGCGGTGGGACGACTCTAGCGACGGTGGGGCGGCTCCAACGATGGACAAAAGGCGGAAAAAAATTCAAGATAACCTTAAGCTCTAGATACCATGTTGAATATAGAGAAAATAGGATTTGGAATTAATTTCCCTTGTGTATAAATCACACATAGGGTGGTCTATTTATAGTAGAGAGATACAACTAAAAGAGTAACTGAAAGTAACAGAATAAACAGAATATATTGTTTGATATTGTGGTTACCAATATCTAACAATATCTTAACAATATCAAATAATATCTAAACAATATCTAACAATTACATTATTCTCTCTTACCTTTCAGTTTTTCACATTTCCTTAATCTCTCTAATTAATTTGTTTTTTTTTTCAATCTTTTCAACCAATTTGATGAACAAAAAGTTATTTTTTTTAAATATTTTACATAAATCTTAGTAGTAACTAATATTATTTTATTTATAATTTATTTATGAGATTTTATTATGTCATATTTATTTTATTTTATTATTCTTATTTGTCATATATCAAATTTTATTTTAATAAAATAATTGTATTTTAAAGAATTAAAAAGAATTAATAATTTAAACTTTTATTATTTTGAACTAATTAAATAAGAAATAACTTATTAAATATTTTTTTATAAAGTATATATTTCATATTTTTAAATGAAAAAATGAATTAACTTATATACATAATCAAATGTTTAAATAAACTTATATACATAATTAAATGTTTGAATACAAAATAATAATAATAATAATAATAATAATATTATTATTATTATTTGAATATAATGTTATAATAATAATAATATTATAAATATTTTTTATATATATAAAAATAAAAAATAATTAAATATTTATTTTACATACATATTTTGATATAAATATAATAAATTAAAAAATATATTTAATTAATAATAATTATAAATTATAAAATTATAAATATTTATTTATATATAAAAAATATATAATAAAATTAATTTATTATAAATATAATTTTTTTTAATAATATAAATCACGAACAGACAAAAAAGAAAAAACTCAAAACCTAAAATCAAAACTTAATTTTTTAACCTCGATGTAAATTAGAAGTGGGATAAAGATGGTTAAAAAAAAGAAGAAGTCAAAAAACAAAGATTGGGACACAAAATCCGTCCTCGCCCGTGTTCTTGCAATGCCTATATACAGTATTAATGTCATATGATTCTTCAATAATCAACACGTTCAACCATATTTATGTCATACTTAACACAAATAAATTGCATATGAAACACTTGATAGTTACTCATTTTTCTATGCACATTCTTTTGGTCTGACCCGCCACAGGAATTGCATGCTCTCACAGAGTCGTCAAGTAGATATTTTTTTTCTCTTGCTTCAGTTTCTATTTTTGCTTCATTTTTAAGGAAAATTATTAACGGGGTGGAAGAATGTGAAAGAGACCTTTGAAGCATGAGTGGCAGTGCATTTGTATGATGCACATTGGATTCTCTTTTCTAGAAGAAATATAATGTGCAATATATACCACTATATCTTCAAAATATTACCGCACCAACTTCTCCATTTTCTTAATTCCTTTGCATGCAAAATTAAGTAACGTGTTTGGGTTTATTTCCAAACAAAAACCACTACTTTATCTATTAACATTTGCTTATAAATTTGAATCTTTTAAGGTAAGTAGAGTTTGTTAGCTAGTGTCTTTTAACCCCAAAATAAAGTCACCAAGTAATTTATGCAGCGATGAGACCAATAATAACTTAATTATATGAGGAATCTAGTAAGGGATGCTTAAAATTAAGGTTATTTAATTATACATGTAGTGCTCACAGAGAAATTGTTCTAATATATGCTCCACTCAGCAATAAATAATTTATGATAATATTTACAATACTTCTCTTTCATTTGATAATATGTTCCGGTTTCAATTCTATTTTGTTTGATAATCGATTTTTCTTTTGGTAACAAGTGACAAAGTTGTATGAACATAGTTTAATTTTATAATTTTATATTCATTTGTCTTGTTTCTTTACGTATACAAATAAATTGAAAGATAAAATAAAATGAAGTTATTTTTGTAACTAAATAACCCAATATTCTATCTTATTCTCCTCTTTTCAAGTATTTTCTATTTCATTTCCTTGTCTTCTATATGCATGGTTTTAAGTGTGTGTTAATAAAGCTAAAGACAGAGTAGCAGAATAGGAGCAGTCTAATAAGTAATTTATCTTCAAATCCCTGTTTGGTGCGTATTAAAACCCTAAAAAGTGTGTATAGAGAGAGCTTCACAAGGACGCTCGTTTCCGTACGGCTTCGTTTGGTTCAGCCAAAAAAATTAAGAAGCAGATCAACATCACAATGTCAGAAAAATATTGCAACCAAACATAAACAAGAACAACCTCATAAAAAAACAAAAAAATAAAATCCCTGTCAAGGCCCTACGAAATACACTTCATGCTCTTCCATGAGCAAATCTTACACTGTTACCCTGTGTAACATTTGTAACACTCTATATTATTATAATTTTAAATAATTTTAAAATATAATTAAATAAATAATACTATTTAAATTATTTAATAAATTTTGAAGTAAAATATTATAAAATTTTATTTATCCAAAAGAATGTATTATCTTTTATTTAAATTTGACTTAAATACAGTTATATAATCTATCATTCTATTTATATAATATTTAAATGATAATTAATTTGCTAAAATATTTATCTAAATTTAATTATTAAAAGGAAGTCATATTGTTAATTATGTCAATAATAACTGATATAAATTTTTAATTTAAATTAAATATTTTTACATGATCATTCATAACCCACTAAACTTATTTCTGGGCTTATTTAAAAAAAAAAATATACACGAACATAAACAGGACAGATTCGAGAATTTTGGAAAAATTGATCAAGAATGATACAAAATAGGATTAAGAACTAAAAAAATAAAAAAGATTATATATATGCTTTTAGTTATATAGATGATGTAATGTACAATAAAAGAGAGATTAGAATAGAGGTGAAAATCCCTCGAGATGCTACACGCAAAGATATATGTTATTAGACGAAAATCGAGATGTTAGTTCCTAAATATGCCGTGTTTACAATAAACCTCGATGTTTAGTCGTTATAGTCAGTCCCTTCACAGGCTCAAGAAAAAGTGAATAACAAAAATCCGCACATATCATCTCATCATCTCATGCAGCTGCAATAGAACTGCACTGTCGGATCAAACCTCCATATGTCAGTCTTCATTGATGTGTGTGTGTGTGTGTCTCTCTGCCTTTGCATTGTTTCAGACACCACATTCGTCCAAAACCAACTCATAAAAAAAGTAATTAAATAAAAAAATGCATAAAGGAGATGAATTTAGTATGATTATATGCCACTCTACTGCTATAGAGTCCTAGTAGTGATGATAATAAAATATAGTAAAAAGCTTGTTTTTCCACTTACAAGCCAAGCCCTATGCTATGCTGCTACTTCTTCCCCCGAGTGGTATTTCCAAAGCAAAGCAGAAAGACAAAGACCGCAGGTTCTTTCTTTCATCTCTCTACATATCCATTATTTTATTATTTTCTGCTCTTCTTTTTCCTCTCAACTGTCTTGTCTCACTGTCTTTTCTCAAGTGCTCTAACCCTTCCCCACTGCCTTCAAAACAAACTTTGCAGGCTTTGCTGTCAGAACTCTCTCTCTCTCTCTCACCACCACCCTCTATTTCTCTCTCTCACACAGAGGTATCTGCCAAAGATACACAGGAACCACAGAAGACACTGCAAAAGCTTTTTACAAACGTGGTCTTTACACATCCAACACACCTAACGAAGTTAATTAGGCACATAATATTAAGCCAAACTTAATAGAGGAGGTTTCTCTCTTTATCTCTCTCTCTCTCTCTCTCTCTCCATGGACTTGCATCTGAAGCAATGGAGAAACCAGCATGAGTCAGAGGAACAACATTCTACAAAGATGCCAAAACTTCTCCCTGAATCCCATCAGCCACAAACACAATCATCTGCCTCTGCACTCCCTTTGTTTGTACCTGAACCCAACAGCAAAGTCAGCACCCTGTCAGATTCAACGTTTGCAGCTACTAACAGATTTCCCAGTAAGATTTTTATTTTCTCTTTTCTTCCTTTTGGCAGAAAGAAAGTTTGATTAGCTTCAGGCATTAGTTGCTGCTTACTTTTCACGTTTGCTTCTTCCACCACAACCTTACCCACCTTTCTTTTCCTCACCCCACCGTCCCTTCTTTGGCTCTTACGTTTTCTCTCTTTTTTTCCCTTTCTGGGGTGGTCTCCTCTTTATTACACCTGTTCAGGGATGGGGAGCTACTTCAGCTTGTCTCAGTGGCAGGAACTTGAGTTGCAGGCTTTGATATTCAGGTACATGTTAGCTGGTGCTGCTGTTCCTGCTGAACTCCTTCAACCAATCAAGAAAAGCCTTCTTCGTTCTCCTCACTATTTCCTCCATCATCCTCTCCAACATTACCAACCTGCTCGTAAGTCTCTAACTATCTCTCTCTCTCCGATCTTTATTACCTCTTTCTTATATTCTTTACTGTCACACGCCATTCTCCATACATTACAACATTTTTCTCGTGCTTTGTGACCATTCAACTTCCCCTAAGATCTTTTTTTTAGTTTATTTTTGGAGCAAGATGTTAAGTACTTTGTTTTTCTTTAATTAAAGAACTAAAAATTGTTTACATTTTGGACGAGACATACTTGTTGCATCAGTCTTGGTTTCATAGCCGATCGCTTGTGTGGATTAAGGAAGATGGTTGTGTTACAGCGAGCTTGGAAACCCAGTCAGAAGCAAAGAATAATGTTAGACAACCAAGCTATGACTATAGATTTCTTAAAATCAAATCCAAAACCTAATATAATGACACTAACAGGCCTATCAGTTAAGTTCAAATTGGTAAATATATCAAACATGGATCGCTTACGATAAAAAAAATGACATCACCTAATCTTTATAGTCATCTTTTGAAATGGAAAAAGATTTTTTATGTTGTTGCATCCTCAGTGTTGCTTATTTGGTTGAGGTGAACGGTAGAGTTTTGTGAGCATGTTTTGTTTGTTGGACCAGTGTTGCAATCAGGGTATTGGGGTAGAGGAGCGATGGATCCGGAGCCAGGGAGGTGCCGGAGAACTGACGGCAAAAAGTGGCGGTGCTCGAGGGACGTGGTGGCTGGGCAGAAGTACTGTGAGCGCCACATGCATCGTGGAAGAAACCGTTCAAGAAAGCCTGTGGAACTACCCACACCAAGTAGTGCTAATTGTGGTGGTAGTGGTGGTGGTGGTGGTGTTGGATCTCTAGGACTAGGTGCTTCATCTTCCATTTCTTCACCGCCGCTAGCTACTGCTTCTCTCAAATCCCCTTTTGATCTTCTTCACCTTAGTGAACGGTAATCATATTTCCTTTATAACTTCTCTCTCACTGTCTTTGCTTAAGTGATTTGTTAACAAGATTACGGCCCGAGGGTTTTGTTAAGATTTTACTTTGGACCATTAATGATTATGATTTGAGTGTGTGTGTAGTGTAGTAGTGTATCTAATAAAAAGGCAACCAGCGTGTAAAGCTTTGCTTTGGAAAAGGGTGGCTAAATGATAGTTCTATGTGAGCTTGATCTTAAATATGGTGGGCCATACCTTACTTCTGTGGTTTATTTTTTTCCTTTACTGTCAATGTCGTTACTGAGATGAATTCATTGACGTTGAAAAAGTAAGTTTGAATTTGATGCATTCCGATTTGAACAAGTAATCTAAGGAAGGAGATATATCCTTGTGACTTATTGTACTGATGCCTAACTCGAATAGGGACCCCAGTGAGGGCATGGCCACTATGTCTCGTACTTGGGAAATAAAGCAGGTTATTAGAACAAGATACCAACTGGAATCTATTTTCTATTTAATGTATCTTCAATGTAAAACACATCAGGTAACAAAGGAAAAAAGGTGATACATTTTGTTTCTATTAGTGTCTTGCAAACGGGTGTCTCAAAAAATCAATGATTAGGGTAATAAATAAATAATTTTTTATTGAAAAAGATGGTAGTAAAATCATGATTGAAGTTGATTAAGAACACTTTTATTCCTTAATTAGTATGCATTATTAAATAAGTGAAAGGACAAAATATATTGTTACAATTAATATGCCGTTAAGTGCATGCCGAACACACTACTTGAGATTTCGCACAAATAATCCCCAACCGTTCCTTTCTAACCTAAATTTAGTAATGTGTCTGTACTTGTGTTCCACGACCACAATTTATATTTTTGTCACCGTTTTGATACAAAGCCCCGACTTGATATGTTTACTGTCTTGTTACTGGGCCACATGTAGCTCCTCTGGGACCAAGAATGAAGACAAGAGCCTGTTTGAAAACGAAGATCATGTGGGTGGGGATTGCAGATCAGGCGGCCATATGCTGAGACATTTCTTCGATGATTGGCCACGATCACTGCAAGACTCTGACAACGTTGAAAACAATGCTAGCGGGATGAATTCGGCCACATGCCTCTCTATTTCTATGCCCGGAAATGCTTCCTCGGATGTGTCATTGAAATTGTCCACGGGCTATGGAGAGGACCCGGGTCCAACAAATGCGAATGTGAACCTTGAGGCAGAGCACGTTCAATTGAATTGGGCCGGAGGATGGGCCTCTGGTAGTCAAGTGGCTTCAATGGGTGGGCCACTTGCTGAGGCACTCAGATCATCTACTACAACTTCATCTCCCACTAGTGTTTTGCATCACTTGCCTCGTGGTTCTGTATCTGAGACCAGCTTCATTAGCACCTGAATTTAGTTAATTCTGTGTCTGTTTAGGGTTAAGTTTCAATTTTGGAGCATTGTCAACGGTTATGTTCGTATCATCATCAATCCTGTGGACTACTTTTGTTTCTAAGTGTGAGATGAAAGGATATGGTCAGTTCCTGGTTGCGTAGCCTTAGCGGGTACACTTAATTCGTAAGTGATACTGGGTTGCCCATAACTTTCACGTTTTCTTCATGGCGTTACTTACGCCTAGTTAAACTGCTTCAGTTCCTAAAATTCCCGTACTAGTTAAGCCTAGATGGACTCAAATCACCTGCCTCTGATTGCTGACTTTCCCTCTTATTTATTTTTGTTAAAAAAACAAAAAACCACATCTGAGCTCTGGTTCTTTAAAGTGAAATATAAAAATATAGGCCGCCAATACTCGATAAGGGAAAAAGAACAATACTAAATTTCTCAATAAATAAAACAGGACGGATTCGAAATGATTCAAATACAGTCTGTTTCCACAAAAGATCACACGCAAGCTGATCACAATTTTTACCTATGTAGTTTGAGAAAAATATTTCTACTTAAATATTTAAAAATAATATATATATATATATATATATATATATATATATATATATATATACATATTTTTTTTTATGCTCTCTAAATTCCTTGGCTAAGTCATTCTCTTTTGGGTGACGGGAGGAAAAGAAGAAACTAAAGAAACACTCGATGGATCTTTCAAGTCCAAAAAGAATCACATCAGCAACCAAGAACATAGATAATAAAGGAGGAGGTGCGGTGAAATCTTGAGATTGAAATCTATACTTAGCATCCATTGGCCATCTAATATTTCCTTCAGAACATTAGACTGGAAATTATTTACCATTTTTGTCTCTTAGTCTCCGCAAAAAAAGGAAGCAGACACATGGATTGTGAATACAAACAGATTGTTATTATTTTAAAAAAATAGACGCTGAAAGTAAGTGAATGAGCGACCCTTTTTACAGTAAGGCAATTATTTTATATTCTTTTTTGATAGTGTATGATGTCTTTATTACACGGATAGGAATTGCTACAACTTTTAAACATAAAGGAGACAGTTAACACAAAAACACCCTAAAGGAAAACATCTATAAAAGCCTCCTGCAAAATTTCCCACGGTAAAAGTCCCTTGGAAGCTTCCAACTCTTAACAGAGTATGCACTTTATGATGATCGACATGTGCAATAGGTACACATCGAGTGTCAGGTTCGCAGATGATAGCTTCGTTGATTCACATTTCTCAGTCGCGATGCAACTTATACATGGCATGACATTAAATTCTAAAAAGTAAAAACAGAAAGATGGGTATCATAACTTATTACCTAGCAAGGCACATGTCCAAGATTTCGAGGCTAGTGTCCTGCCTCACTAAAGATGAACTAGCGCTCCACTTATTCCACTTAAAATCTGCTTCTTTGATGTCTCAGTGCCCGGTTAAACCAAGGGAGATTGGTTGGGTAGTTTGACTAGGGATTTTACTGCCGCCATTGTGCACTTGTAGCATTCATCCCAGAAGCTTCTCATAAAGTATCAATTGGCTCTGGTTCATCATCATCTGGAAGGGTAGGTTCAACATCATCTGGAAGGGTAGGTTCAACATCATCTGGAACGGCTGGTTCAACATCATCTGCAAGGGCATAAACCGCTGCTGTTCTAGAAGGTGCATAGATAAGAAAGGATCTAGGTCGGTCATCATACCATCCTTCCTGTAAAATCACCGAAGGAATTCATTGGGATAGTCAAAACACTAAAGTTAGGTCTGCGTGAGTGTAAAAGAACACGAATAGGAAAATACAAAACAAGGCACAATACAACACAACAAGACACTACGGTGTCCATGCCAGAGCATGGTGCACACTCAAACACAAGTTTAGAGAGGTCCCATACAGAAGTGAAGTACTCAGCAGCATGGTTGAGCCTATTGAAGCCACCAAACAAGGCATCATCTGAATCCAAGACAATCTGTAAAAAGAAAAGCATAACCCATTGTGAAACAAATTCTCAAACTTCGGAAAAGAAAAAGAGAAAATAATATCAGTGTTGGTCATATTCTAGTCTGCGTAGTTTGTATGATATGCCAGAGAAAGACGCACAGATGATATAATTTATATTTCCCAGGGGTTAGAAAATAATATCAGTGTTCGTCATATTCTAATCTGCGTAATTTGTATGATATGCCAGAGAAAGACGCACAGATGATATACCTTATATTTCCCGGGGGTTAAGCAGCCAACTCTGTAATCTGAATAGCTGTTGTTCCAATGAAAATTGAAGACAAAGACGAGGTTGCCCCTTTCGAAGACTATAATTTTGTCACCTTCATTTTTCCGTGAAATATATTGGTGCTCAGAAGTCATGAACTGCAGCAAAAAGGCAAGTACAGTCATCGAACCTAGGTTAAAAAACTATATATAAATATGAAAGTTAGGTTGCACAACCAAGTGTGTAGAAACTGTCTTGGCAAAAAAAAAAAAATCGGCTTTGCACAAGTATATTATTTTTATTAGAACTAGTAGAAATACATGCATTTGCCACGCCAGTTTGTCTATATTTTGTATCTTGTTATCTTATTTTAATTAGTTAAAATTTAACGTTTATATAATGTAAAATTGAGAAATGTAAATTTGATTTGCTGAAATAAATATTATTATCAATATCCAAAGAGACAAGGTGGGGAAAAAGCAAGTGAGAGTTACCACGTTCTTCTCTAAGTTGCTATTGTCACCCTGATGTGCAATGTTGAGTGCGCAGTTACCTTTTTATGGATGTAACAGTTTTTTCTATCATTTTTCTGTTCTCATCATTTAACAGGGATTTTTTTTCCTTTTTTTTTTTCGTTTCCTTAATTTTTTTACATTGATGTTTATTGTATGTAACAGTTTTGTGCTGTGATTTTTTAAAACATTAAAGATAAAATAGGAAATAATTTGTATGTACCAAATATGAAAGTCCTAATATTATTATAGATTATACCATGACCATGTACTGAAAACTTTAAGCCGGTTATCTCCGATGATAAGCAATAGCCATAAAGTCAAAGTTAGATAACCTCCCAAATAAATAAGATTTCATTAAGATAATTCATTTAAATAGAAAATAAGAGACAGGTAAAGAAACGAAGTCTTACACCAAACTTTTCTTCTAGGTGCTGCATGGCTTGATCAAAATTTTGCATCCCTTGATATCTTAGATAGTCTGCATCTCCCTAATTAAGCAATACAAGATAAATTTTTTTAACTTTTGAACAATATGGCCTTGCAATTGTTTTTTCTAGATAATAAGTTATAGAGTATATGTTTGATGTCAAAGTAATGTAGATAAGAAACAAAACAAAGCATATATTGATAGATTTGCCTACAAAACTGAGATTCTATCAGGCAATAATTCATCATAATCTTTATATGATTTTTCAGTTGTATATATAAACATCTTGCCCTACCTGGAGCAGGACACTAGTTTCATTTTTCACTCCATGTGTTTAACTGTTAACAAGTTCCTTTGATTTTCATAACATGCAATGTTGGAGATGTACGCATTTCAAACAAGTCATTCCCTAGTTTCTTCATTACTCCATGTATTTCAAAATCAGTATAGTAATTTCCAGGAACAAATAAACGTGCTCTATATTTCGATGGAAGAGGGATCAATACTGATTCTATTACGTTTTGTAAGAAAACGGGAACAACCAACAATAGCAAAGAAGATGCAGAAAGAGAACAGTTTTTCCATAACCACTGCTTATACTCATGAAGATGATAAAATGAAGACTAGTCCAACAAGACGACTTGATGGGAAAGCAAAGGACTAATGAAAAGTACAAATGATTCCATACTTAAGATTTTATGTAACAGCCATCACCAAATAAAAAACAAGCATTTAAGAATATTTGAATGAATTTTGTCCAGCAAAAGATATGTTTAGCCTACGACATTATATATAGACACATTCCGTCTGATGCGCAGATAACTAAAGAGGGAGGTAATGTTGATGGAGAGAATGCTGAGGGTGAAGGTGAAGGTGATGTTAGAGAAAGTTAAAGTAATCCAACTCTATGCATTTGATGTTGATAGTATAGTTTTTGATGTAAATGGTGATGCCCGGGAGCTTGATGGTGATGGATGGAGATGGGAGAGTTTAGTTATAAAGGGAAGCAGGAAATACGCTAAAGAAACGCACAGAAAAAGGGAAGGCACAAATGAAATGTAAGCAGTGCTCCCCAAGTAAAGAAAGGTTTCTCTGGACTCTAAAATTCTATTCCAAATCCATCATACCCCCACCTATGATTTCCCAATCCTCACATAACAGAAACATATCTCATTTTATCTCTCCTCTAACTAACTTCCAAAATTCCTTACTGATGAATATAGTCTCAGGCTGATATAGAATTTAGGTGGAAAAGATGAAGGAAACAGAAAGACAGGGCAAGAAGAACAAAATAGAGACGATATAGAGGATATGAGAGAAATAGAGGGGCCAAGTAAGCTGTGGACTGCACTTGATTATCATTTCAGTATGTCTACAGTCAGTCTAGATTCAGCTGTCTAGAATCCAAATTATCTTATTAACAGGCAGCTACCAAACAGCTATGAACTAACAATAGCTGACTAACTAACTTAGTCACATCCTTGTCTTATTTATATTTACATATCACAGGCCTTATTTGGTTTGGGCTTTCGAGAATACAATTTAAAGGGCCTTTGCCATTTATTTAGAAGCAAAATTTCCTATCAGGAGATTATGATGATGGAGATGGAGATCTGATGATGATCTCAATGATGTATTTAGAAATTGTAGGGATAAGGACTATTAAAACTGGCCTATACATAGGAAAACAACAGCATATATGAACAACAACAACTTGAATAATGCGGTGGGAACCAATGATCCACCTATCCAATTAAAATGGAAGAGTAAGCATTGAACAGAAGTAGAAAAACAGTGCAATAACAGTACCACATGACTAGTACAACATCAACAGTATTTCCATAGCAAAGCTATTTGGACCAAACAAACACAACCAACATTGATGATTCAGATTTGGGCAACGGGACAGTGATGTGAGACTGCATTTTTGGCATGGAAACTTAGGGTCTGTGCAGAAATTCACAAGAGAGGGAGGGAGAATTAACCCACTTTGATTCGAATGAGATCAATAATTTATGAGAATATTCGAGTGAAATTGCTTAAATAAAATATATATTTTTTTCAATAACAGTAGTAGGCTTGAATAAAAAACATAATAATCCTAAGAAATATATGCAGAAAAACTACATAGGGAAAACTAATTGCAAAATCATTTTACAAGGAAGAATAATTAGGCTAACAATTCAAACTCTGTTTTTAAGATATATTCCCATGTTCACAGGAAAGCATAAGGATGAAGAAAGAAATAGTTGCACGGTGCCCATTCCTCTAATCTCTAAAGATGTACTAAAACGATCAGTATGGTTTATAATTCATCAGTAATAAGTTAAAATACAGTTTGCCACAAAGTAGGTTCTGAATTAACTAAGAACTTACCAAGTCAAATCTACGCCTGCATTTATCATAACTGTAATTGTTCCCTGGAATTACTTTGCCACTTGGGAGAAGTTGTTCACCCCTTGGAAAATCAATCCACTCTGAACAGGCAACAATGAGTGAGCAATGCTAAACTTAATTTGACAACATCAAATCCAACAAGTCATATCATTAATGAAATCTCTGCATAAATAATGACATGAGACATGTCAAATATGCTTACCAGGATGACCAAATTCATTCCCCATAAAATTCAAATACCCTTCACCACCAAGTCCCATGGTAATAAGCCTAATCATTTTGTGTAAAGCTATGCCACGATCTATACGAGGTGTAGATGGCCTGTCTAAAGCCATGAAGTCATACATATCCTGAAGCAGGGAACAGAATATTAGGAAAATATAAATAATCAATTGCTAACTGCAGCCATACACTTTATACAGCAAAAATATCTGTCCTTAAATAATTTGACAGTAGCAAAGTAAAAATTAAAAGAATTCAAGAAACAGCCAGAGAATTAAGGGATGCTATATTAGGCCTTCTTCCTAAGCTGATACTCAACATCAGGAGGTGATTGCAAATGCATATGAGAAGTTTTCCATAAGATTTATAGTAGTCAAGCAAGTCTGTATTTATAAGCTGTAAATAAGTACTTCAATTCACCATGCAGTTTCAAATGGGTAAGAAACACAACATATTGAAGAGACAAACACCTTGTCCATCAACCAAAATGCAATTGTCTTGTCACCAACCAAGGCCTGGTCATGACTCTCAGCATATGATACACATTTTTCGAGCCATCTTCTGTTTGTTAATGTGTGGACAATATCACCCATTTTCCAGTCTTCATCATTCTTCCTACACATAAAGGACAACGGCGAAATCAAACATGGTTTTCTTTTCACTTCCTAGCAAACAGTAAGAATGAATGACACCTAACGAGATGGAATGATGAAGTGGAGTTTAAAAGGCTCAAGGATTTGAATAACAACTTTCACCCAGAGGAGCATGCAATTTTTATTTACACTTGCAATGTTAAGACACAGAAGATCTTTTCCAACGCAAAGAATCAGCCAACACACAAAAAAAAGCTTCAACAAATTGGACTGCTATCCAAACATAATTATACTTCATCTGCACTTAGATCTTACATACATTTGGGATGTAATGAATGCGTTAAGAAGACTTGCAATTTAGCATCCCATTGAAGCCGGCATCTCAAAGCCCCAACTTTACAAAGGATTGACATATTCTATTAGCATATTAGTAACTGATGTGAGAACAACCATGTCAGGACTTGCTTATACTATTGAAAATTAAGATTGATTCAACTTTTTGGTCCCATCCATGCAGAATGGAGAAGTATATTATTAAAATTTTATATATAATAAAGATTTATATAGGATTTTATTCTTGATGGAGGACAATAAAGCATTAAACCTGAGCTCTCTTCAGGGTGGAGTACTTCTCTAACATGGGTTTCAGGCATTCACTGGAAAGAAACAATAATCTCAATACTGTTTAATAAAATGTATAAAAACATAAGGACCTAAAGGGTATTTATAATCCAAAGATAATTAAAACTCTAGCAAATCATTACTCTAATAGTAATCAAATATAAAAATTCTTGAAAACTCATGATTATTAATTTAATATAAAATATGGTTCTCTTTTCTATGTCACCACATTCACTGGGTTTAAGACAAAAGCCTACGTAATCCAACACTATACAATATATTGAATGCCTATAGTTCCTTCATAGTCGTTCTCCAGGGTCATTACATTATTATTTTCATCATTCTGCAATGTGATGCCATTGCTTTCTGGATTTGATATAATGGGGTCAAAATTGCACAGCAAGAAGATCTATTTTATGCATATGCCTTGTATATATATATATATATATATATATCCATAATCAGGACTATTACTATTTAAAAATAAACATAAGGTCTGTTTGGTGGAACTTCTCCATAAAGACTATTAGGAAAGAAAAAGAAGAAAAAAGGGAAGAGTTTTCCATAAGCAAAAATTAACTTTCACAATGTTAAAAATAGAAATTTAGAGAAATTTTGCAGCGAGCTTCTACAAATTAGCTTGTGCACAGGTTAATCTTGGCTAATGGAGTAACTAATTTCAAATTTTTCTTCCTGCATTTTTCTCCTAGAAATCTTGATGGAGAAGTTTGTCTAAACAGGTCCATAATACAAATATGCTCTATTTGTGTTCCAAAATAAAAGTAGAAGGTTACTTGAGAATCTCAATCCACTTGTCTGCAATGGCCATCTGCAGGCGATAGTCAAAACCAACCCCACCATCTTGTGTAGGAAGGCAGAATGTTGGCATTCCACTAACCTGGAAATGAAAAGGAAATTGAATTGTCAACTGCCAGTTCCATTGTGTCATACAGAGGGTTCAAGTTCAAGCACCACACAGTCTTTCTTTTTTCTTTACAACTGTTACACAGCCATCTATACTTGGCCAAGGAAAGTCAAATCAAATTCAAGAGATGACAACTATCAACTACTAAAATATTTTGAATAAAATGTTAAAGTTGTACATTGATTTACAAGAGGATCACATACATCTTCACCAATGGTAACAGCCTCAGGGAAGAGGCCATGAATGAGATCATTAACCAGCATCAGGTAAATCACAGCATCAACATCAGTTGCAAAACCAAAGTACTCATTGTAATTTCCTGTAAATGCTACCTGCAGCAAGATTCAATAAAAATAAAAGAAAAATCTAAATGATTGAGAAAGAATATCTAATTGAAATAGAATCCTTTGCTTCAAAGGCTAACCACTGCAGAATACATTTCATTAGTTGTTTAACACTGATTCTTTTGCCCTTTTTCCTTATATTTCCTTTTCCCCTTTTGTTTTCATTGACTGAATCCGATTGTAGTACTGTTGTCAACAACTGGTTCTAGATTATATTATCATAGAAAAATGTGAAAATCAGTTACAAGGTAAAAAACAATTCTGTTGAAATTGCAAACACTACAAGAGGGCTTCTCAATTCCAAGTTCAATGTTTTTAAGGTGAAGAGTGGGAGTAGATGATAGGTGAAGATCTTAATTTTTATCTAACTGTACAATCAAACAATCAAATCATTCTCAGTTAAGCATATTCATGCTCATGATACATCGTTCCTGTGGTTCCATCAAATTGGATAAGTTACATGGCTTTTGCATTGTATACAGTATAAAACCAGACTTTGGCATAGCCACCGAGGATGCAAGGAATGAGTTTGCTATATCCTGAAATTGTAGTCCGGGCTATGCCATGCATTGTTAGACAATTTTGAAATCAACTTGTTTTTCCTAATTTTAGGTGGACCCCACTACTTCACACATAACATGCAAAAAGAAACTTTAACTCTGATAACTACAAGATTTAAGCTTCAGTATCCCTTGTATTTAGTTTGTTGTTCTCTTTTCTTGTTAACTGTAAATCTTTCATTCTTGCACTTGTTATATAAATGATGCTTAATTCCATTTTCAGAATATTTGGCTGATTCAATATCCAGAGTAAGCAGAATAAAACAAACAAGCTCATGAAAGCAATAAATCTGTACAATTCTCTGCAACTTTCTGATAAAAATCATAGTGGTATTTAAAAATTTCTCCCTTTCTAATTCAATTGGCAATCCAATAATCCTTGAACACTTAACTAAGAACAAATGTAGCCAAAGTTATCATGAAATACCAACAAACTTAAATGCCAAACACAAAATCTAATTAGAGTATACCTGCAATCCATGATGAGTGTACATCATTGATGTAACACCATCAAATCGAAATCCGTCAAACTTGTATTCATCCAGCCACCATCTTGCATTCGATAGTAGAAACCTTAGTACCTAAGACAAAAATTAGAGTAAGTCACTTACTATTGATCAAATGCTATAGAAGAGTCATGATGGGAAATATTATCAGAACTAAGCCCATGAATTCTGTGGAGCCAGCACTTACTTCCCAGCTGCCATAATTGAATAGGCGAGAATCCCACATCCAATGATAACCTCGTGACCCAGGATGGAAATAATGACTATCAGTTCCATCAAACATGTTTAGCCCATCCAATGTATTATTTGATGCATGGCTACATTCACGAGATATTGACAACCAGGTTCAAGGTTGTAAGGATAAAACTTTAAAAATAATATCACTGATGTAGTGATAATTGAGGATATGGTTGAAAGGAAAGAAATAAAAATATTGACAAATAAGGAAAAAGAATAGTAATGCATAAAGTATAATCATTACCTGTGTACAATATCCATCAGAACAAGCAGACCTAGTTCATGAGCTCTGTCTATCAGAGACTTAAGTTCTTCTGGAGTTCCAAATCGGCTGCTAGGGGCAAAGAAATTTGTAACGTGGTACCTGCACCATGCATAACAGTATTTGTACAGTCAGGACAGCAAAGCTAAAGAGGAAAACAATAATGCATCAAGAAATCAGGCATATAGCACACAAAACTGCTTGTTTCTTGTTATTGTTTGAATCAGATTGGGACCATCAGCAATTTGGGAGCAGGGGAAAAAATGACAACAAGAAGAGTTGCACAAAGCTGGCATAATAAGAATGAAAAATATAAGAGTTACCCAAAGCTGGCATAATAAGAATGTTCTTGGATAGCCATAATCTGAACGGCATTGTAGCCAAGCCTTTTAATGCGAGGTAGTACATCATCTCTAAAATTGGCATATGTGTTGATTTTTGGCTCCTGCACCACATGGTTCACAACATTGTTGATGGTAGAAAAAGAATTGAAATTCTAAATAGACACTTTTCTTGAACTTTATAGATTTTATCTCTAATCCTAAAAAAAATTCAATTATTTAAAATCAATGAACACTGACTCTATAAATGAGACCAATGTCTTCATTCATTGCAAATAAATCTTCAGTAAAGAATTAAGTTTTCTTTTACAAAAGTGTTGTTGCACATAACAACTAATACATTGAGCTTAACATGCAGCCAGCAGTTACTAGTGTCACTTCTGCAAATGGTAAGATAATTACACTTCATGACAAATATTAAATGAATTAGGACAAAAGTAACAATTTGCAGTTTGACATTTCTAGATAGGTTATTTTGTTTTGAGAATAATCAAAAGGATCCTGCAAATGTCTTCTTTAGGGAAACCTAGTCACACTTGCCCAACTACATCTATTATTATGAATTTTGGAAAGAAATATAAGAAATTGATAAAAACAAAGAAACTGAACAGTTTTATTTACAAAGAGTCCGTCCTTTCTTACAAATCTTCTAAAATCCACACTGAATGAAATCTTCCAGACTTCTTCAACCCTCTAACCAACTAAATATCTTAAATACCAGTTGCTAACCAATTTTTCCTTCATCCTAACTCCTTGTAACACCACCCTGATGAAATTCAACCCTGTTCTGAAATTAAATTCTAGTTTTTATTGCTCTTTTAGTTGGGAGAGGTTAAAACCATCATAAATGTGGGTCTGTTTTGAGAGAAGATACTGGATGTCTCCATCTGCTTGAGGACTAAATAGAGATCCTGTCCTATATTTTGAGGGTGATTTATTTGCCCATTTGATCTTGCCCCTTAGTTCAAAAGCTGACCCAAGTTGGTTGGTAGATTTGTAATGTCTCACCTCCTTTTTGACAAGGTTGGACTTGTCCAGTTAGGTCAAGAGTAACACCCGTCATCGAGAGAATCCCATTCAATAAGAATATTTACTTTATACAATAATACATAACAAATTTACTACTATTCAATTCTGTCAAATGATGAAATAAAAGTAAATCAGCACTTTAAACTTGTGCAAATTTGTTCAAGTACACATGGTAAAGAAATTACAGGGGAATCAATAAGGAAGAAATAAATCATGAATTTAGCTAATCCTCTTGACAGTTGCTACCTAACTTTTTCTGTCCTGTTTTCTAAACTTCTAACAATACCAAATTTAGTTTTCGGTGGTATCTATTTGGTAGTGCAATTCAATTTGGTTTCTATTGGCCTAATTACAAATGAATACTCACTCATGAATAGGGTACACAGTAAAGAGAGATGCATTGCTTGGCAGGAATAATTTGCATAGTGACAGGCTCTAATGCTAACCCGCTTGTCTTTGTGGAAGCAGGTGTAAAGAAAAACAGAAAATTAGTAATATTCTAGGAGGAAGAAGGAAGACGAGGGAAAAGGGAAAGATAAGCAATGCTTGAGAATGATATGGACTTTGAAGAAAATAAGGTCCTTAAAAGAACCTACATTCTCATCTTCTTTCGTTGTTATTTCCATCTATGTTTTCCCATACTAGGTTTGATTACTAGTTTCTACAAGAAGAAAGTTTGCTACCATAAAATGTGGAGGACGGAGTTTAGTCATCATTAGAAATTACCAAACTTTATGATGTAATAGATAGTTGACTTTAAAATAAGATGATATGGAAAGTAAAAGGAAATATTTGACTTATTGCTATTACATGCAGAAAGAAAAATATACTCACTGGACTACTCATGCCAATGTGTGACTCATATATTCTAAGTGATTTTGGTCTCTTTGGCTGTGGATGTTTGAACACATATTTTTCCTGTAAAAACAAAAAAATAAAACCACTCACCACATAAGTGCATATAGAAAATTAAACATAACTGGCATTACTGTTATAAACATTTTTTTTATTTGATATACTAACTGAACTACATTCAATATTATCCTGCCTTCTACCAAAATATTGTTAAATATTGCAGCAAGCTCTATCTTTATTTTTTTTAATAATTAGAGAGAAGTTACATACAATCCTCCCAATATAAGAAAAAATGACAATAACAAAAGACAGCAAAGCTGCCAATTCTATCTCATAACAAATGTAAGGGAAAAGTGATATTTAGATATGTCATCTCTTTGTCTAAGTGTAAACTTACATGTAAGAAATCAGAAACTTACCTCTTCTGCGGGATCATAGTATATTCCGCTGTATGGAATCTCACCAGGAGCCTGTACAGAAAACTTGATCCAAGCAGGAATTGAGTCCTTGAATCCAGAGGAAGTATTCATGCGGATCTACAAATACATGATTGAGATATTTAGTTCACACTTCACAGGGAGTACCCACAGGCTTTGTTCAAAACATCTAGAAATATTTGACATATCCCATTAAAAAGTTCCCCTTATTGACATATAAGAAACAAATACAAGTCAGAAGTTTTTAATCAAGCTTTAAAACATTGTCTTAATGAACTTAAATAATTGGGCTCCCCTCCAGGCGAAAGGACTTTCTAAGTACATTTCCCAAAACACAACAAAGTTGCACCAAAAGAATTTGAAGGATAAATAGTGTAATATATTAAAAGAAATACTAAACCAGTACAACCCCTTCAATCTCTCTAAACATCATTAAGATAAATACCTTAACCATGTGTTTAGATGGAGAATTTCACAATTTTTAGAAAAGTCAAATACATTGTATTTGAATTGTTTTCCTTTCAAATTAATTAATTTTTTAAATGTTTTGTTTGGATAAGACAAATGAAATTTATTGAATTTTGTTTGGATAAAATATTTAAACTACCACCAAATAAAAATTTCATTTTAATACTAAACAATATTTAATAGTTCAAAAATATCACTTCCTGAGCCTATCATCTTGGTCGAGATTGAGGAGAGGGTATGAAGAGAAGAGATAAAAATTTAAGAGTATGGAAAATTTCAAATTCTTCCTTTTTATGAGATATACGAAATTATCTAATTTTGCGCTCTCATAAATTCCTAGAATTTAGTTTCTTTTCAAACAATATCTTTTGTCATAAAGCATTTCAAAATCACTACAAAATTAAATTACCTTCTAGAAATTTCAAATATCTTTTCAATAAATTATTTTATTCGTCAAAAACACAAACTCCAAAAAAGAAGAAATGTAGCAACCAAACAACTATTGAACATAAAGTTGGATGGTTTAAGACAATCAAACTCTATAATGTTCTCTTTTAATTGAAGAACTAGTCTCCTAAGACCCACGCTAAGGAATTAAAAGTGGGGAAGTTTTTCATTGGGATGAGTAAAAATGTGCTCTCCGATGATTCTAATAAAAGCTTTTATCCTTTTATTCCTTAACAAGAGTCCTAACTGGATATAGCAAGACCCTTAATTGAATTGTCTTCTCACATTTTAGAACTTTTGTTGGTGCATTTAGGCCTATTGAGGAAAAACAAGTTCCACATAGTTAGGCTTAAATCCATTGTCTAAGATGGTATTTGAGTCTATCCTACATACCTTAAATGAGTCACTCACCATCTTATACACATCCCAAGCCCAATAGTATTACCGGACATAAGGGAGTGTATTAGGAAAAACCAAAGTGTCATGTCGACTAGAGATAGTACCAAAATACAATATATAAGTGAGGGACAATTCTCACAGTACAAGTCACTGTAGGGTTGACTTAGGCCTAAACCACTTTGTAAGAAGGCCATACTATAATTCTTAAAACAAATTTCATCTCACTCAATAGTTTATATGAGTGTAATGTTCACAATTGCTAGCAATGCATATAAGAGCAAAAGAATATAGCAACTTTGGAAATTATAGAGGACAATTTTACGTATATGCTATGTCATATGCCAATGTGTTATGATAAAACCAAGAGCAATATACTTTATACTTGCCAGGAATTTTATCTTATTTCAAAGAGTAATTCTTCATAAAAAGGAAAACTCCACTTGAAATTTTTTTTAAGCAATGATTATGAGGAACCTCAACATATATTTGAAAAAATACTCATTAGTTGTGATAAATAATTCACCACCCAATCGAATACTCAAACAAATAAAAATAAAAGTTAGTTATTTGACAAGGAAATAAAAATAAAGACTACCAATGATTGTATGAACATATATTAAAATTATTCAAATCCATCAACGAATGTATTGTTTAGGAGAAAAATTACATTACCTTGACCCGTGAACCATGAGGAATCGGTGGTGAACCATCCACATTGTTTGGCAAGAAAATCTCCCATACACCAAACTCATTCTGTTAAGTAAAAATTACAACATTTAAAGACTTAGCACTACAATTGTCAATTAAGTTCAAGTAAAGATACACACTACCAAAAACCAGGAGCATATAAGATTTGTAGCAATCACATTCACATCCAAAAATACAGCTATACGGGAAGGATTTCCATTAAAACAAGAAATCCCATCATTCTAGCAATATCATTTTTTGTTTGGTGGTGATTGGAGGAGGGGTATTCAGTGTTACCAAATTAGTTGGTTTACAATGAATTAGTTTGACCATACCAGTTAATGATTCATTCACAAATTTAATTGCTCCCATTTGTCATTTAATTCACAAAAATTGGCAAACTTGAGTTGAAGCAAAGGTAGGTGAAGCAGGTTTGTGAAAATGATCAAGAGTGGAGCTTGGAACTTAGCATTGAACTCCATATCAATCTAATAGAATACTATTAAGAGCCTCCTTTTTTTTTTTGTCTCCTCCTTTGGATATGTATATATTGGAAAAGAATGTAGTTAGTTCAACTACATTAGTTAGGTTGCTGCCTATACATACGGTAGGACCAGTGTATTTTGGACAGACCGAAATGATAATCAAGGGTAGCTTCCCACTTATATACTACTTTCAAACTCTCTCTAAGCAATGCTAGACTTTGGTTTTTTCCCAATATATGAAAATAACGGATATTATAACCAAACCAAAACCAATTTTAATTTTTAAAAAACCAGTTATATAACCAATTATAGCAAAGCCAGTATTGAAAATTAACAAGCCTGTTTTTAAAACTGATTTTATATTTAGTACACTTTTTCAACCAGTCATGTTTTAAAAATTGTGCTATACTTAATTAAAATTGATTTTAAAGGTTAAAGTTGGATCATCAATCTAAGATATTAATCGGTTTTAGGTATAACTGGGTTTTAAAAGTTAAAACTGGCTTCACCAAACCAAAACCAGTAATGGTAAACAGGTTCATTTTGTAAACTATTTTTACTTAGCTCGTTATTTTATAACAAGTTAATTATGGTTGTAGTTAATTTTTTTAAAACCATCATGGGATTCATCCCATCCCTTGCAATTGGATCCTAACATACTGATTATCCAAGTATCGTCAATATATTACCAGTTACATCAGCTGGTTTCCTGAATAAGGTTTTCTTAAGACAATTTAGTGATTATATGCTGGGTATTGACTACAACTCTATTTATTATTGCTAACATTTAACTAGCCTAAAAGCTCAATCTATTGAAAAGAGGCATATGAATGGTTTTTATATCACAAACATGACTCTCTGGGTTCCAACAAGCCCAGTCAAATATGGAGCTGAATTGAAATTACAAACCAATTAGAAGAATAAGGTGAGCAGAATCAAATGAATGACCACTTGATTTTAGAAGGGTATTCATACCAATAGCAAGACCCAGCTCCCCAAAATCCTTAAACCGTTAATTAGAAGCATATGAATAGTTTTATATCTTCGACAGTTAAGCATTGTACAAGCATGGAGCAGAATAAAATAATTGCCATAGCATAACTATTAGATTGAGTATAACTAAAAGAACATTACATCCTTCAACAGTTATTGATATATTCATACACCAAATAAGTCTTTACTATCATATAAAACTAGGTTTTTTTATTATTTTATTTGAATTATAATTTTTAATAATGCATTCTACCCATCATTGTTTCAAGGTTGGTCATAAGGCCATCTATTTCTAGTTGTCCTTCAAGGATATTTCCTTTTTCAAGTAAATAATAAATTTGGTCCTCCAAGGATTAAAGTAGACACCCACTATCATGGCCCTTTGTGAATTACAGATCTATAACAAATTCATATAATCCTAGGCTACCTCTGTCAGATCAGCATGGTCCCCATAGCACAGGAAAAAAACAGATCTCTTTTGATAATACAGGTCTAATTTAATTTGATGGAATCACAGAAAATGAAAAGGAAATGAGCAAGGAGGGCAGAAGGTTAGACTCTAGGTCAAACAGAGGAAAAAATAGAAAGTTGAAACCACATGATGTCCAATTTTTTATTTACATAAAGGAGCTTATTAATGAAAAGAAGTATACTGAATTTCACATGTATGAACTTTAAAGACCAATTAAGGATAACATACCCGAATCATTACATCTGCATTTGGATTCCAATTGTTGAAGTCTCCAATTAATGCTGCTGACTGAAAAGCAATCAGTAACGTCCATAATGGCTTGCATAGGAAATAAAAAGCATCTATATATTGATTAATTGTCTTCAAGTTCAAAGAAACACCACACACACAACTTCCAAACAATGGTGGATGTCCGATAGCAATGACTGACAAAACCACCACGCCATACCTTTATGGTGCCACCATAACCGCCATTTAATAACATTGATCCAAACAAGATTTTCTCTAAACTTGATAAGAAAATATAGAAGAATATAGTATGGGAGGGAAGAAGGGTATGGAAAGAGAGAGACCATTTCAGTCATTATTATTATCATGAGTTACCACAGGTAGATTCTGTAAGGCAAGTAAATGCGTGACGTATGAATGAGAAAGTTTCAAGGAGCATAGTTCATTCAAGCAATATAGAGAAGTCCATCAAGTCCTAAATTAACTATAAAATATATGAACATGTTTTTTTTAGGTTGCCGGTCAATGCAATAAGTACTGATTGAATGCACTGAATACCTTCTATAACACTCTTGCCAAATGTATATGATATAGACAATTCTAGGAGAAGAATATACACAAAGAATTGCAAGGAATAGGTATTCCAGTGAAAGAATGAAATCCAAATTGTATTGAATTAGGAGAGAATAGAGATTGTTTACAAGTGATTCTGAATACCCCATTCAGACTTGCCCCTTCTTATTTAAAGCTAACAAACAGAAATAACTGAATTGCTACAAGGACCTGTGTCAGTATAATTAAGCAGAGCTATATTAAAGTTTAAATTCTAAGCGACTCTGATGCAGAGGCAGGCGTGCTCCAAAACAGTAATTGTACACATCAGATCAGACACTTTAGATGCCTCTAGGAGCATTTTATATTTTCTTTTATTTGTTGAACTTTCACTGTAATACAGATAGGAATACCACAGTAATTATATACATGATCTTATAAAGACTGATTTCTCATGTTTCGTGTCATGTCAATGCTTTTTATGACTATGTAAAATAATTTGAACCAAAAAACTAGAAACAATGCTAATACCAATAATTAACTAGAAATATACCTTAGCTCCAGGTGCCCACTCTCGGTAAGTAATGCCCGTAGCACTGCAAACAAAAGCTTGTAGTCATTAAGGACCATATTGATAAACTAGAAGTTGTAAATTATAGTGTAGATAAATGGGCATAATCTCCCTTTTCATGTACATTATTATTGTACTATTGTACGAGACCTGTACTGCAACTAGCATTACTTAGTGTGGGTGAAATTGAATGTAGAGTGTATTTCTATGATTTGTTGGCTACGGTGGGAGGTCTGTAGGGTAGGGAGATTGTGTCTTGTCTTGGTTTATTATAATAGCATTGATTTGTAATATTGTAACGGGTCTCGGTGTACCTTGTACCATTTATTTAAATATGTACATGTTTCATTTTTCCTACCATAAAAGAAAAACACCATTACTTAATATAAAATATTTAACTAAAGAGGTGTAACTCACTGACACATTTACTTTTTCTCTCCTCTCACGGCTTCACTCTCAGTTTTGAAGATCTGAAGTATGATTCTCACCAAGCAATCCTTGTTCAGAATCCTCAAACTGGCCTCTTCCTGGAAGCTTGCCACCATCTGTGCACATATGAGGCAGTGTGCTGATCACTGAAATCTGTCCAGCCAGAATTTCTTGTGCGACTGAAAGTTGGAACCATGTGCTGCCTCCCTTCTGGCCAACACTGCTTCCAATGCTCTTCCTTAGTCATCTCTGGTCAGATCCAGCCTCCTCTGACTCTTACAATTTCCAATTACTAATATTTAATATTAGTTGGATTTTCCTATCAAGGTTTTATAACTCTAATTTCAACTTGCTTGATTTCTCCTTAAGTTGAATCAAGGTTATTGGAGTTGTAGCATTCATCAATTATACAAGACTTAGTCCTCTTTGGGTATTCAATCTAGTATATACTGTTTATTGATCAGCAATAATAGATCTGTTAGATTGACTAACCAGGATCTATTTATTATCTTAATAATGACATCCATAATTTATGAGACAATGTTATATGTATATTCACATGTGAGATATTAACTCTAAATTTAAGCATAGCACCGTACCTGCGTATGAAGCCAAATTTTTCATAGCCACGAGAGAATGTATCCAGACCACCTTCATGCTTGTTAATTTCATCATGTAATCTTTTGTATTGTCCATAACTGTGAATTTATAAATATCATTTAAAAAATCAGGTTGTCAATTTAGTTACAGTACAGCAGGTATAAAAAATACTGTAGCAGAGTTTGGAAAACCAGAGGCTAAAGTACTGAACAATATGATAAATTGTTAATAAACTACCTATATAAGCAGAAAATTTAACAGTGATGAGGCACTGTGAGGGAACAAAAACAAACGAAGGAGAAAAAAAACCTAGAAATCTAGTACCATATAGAGAGAATTGTTTGTAGTTGTGTGATCTGGACACTGTCTACTCTTATTCATAATGAATAATAGATACAATAATAGGGAATAGAATCAATACCTAATAATGAAAAATGTTTGATAAATTATCCCCTTATCAAATCATATCTCCTTATTTAATGTAATCAAATCGGATCTCTAACATAAAGAAAATCAAAGATTCCTCCATTAATAAGTACAAGACTAGACTTGTGGCCAAAGATTTCTTTGGTGACTTCATGGAAAAACCCAAATCCCACATTGACTTGCAATTTGGCTAAAATAATATATAAAATTGAGAGCAACCCTCACTCATGAGTTAACTTTTAGTTAAGCTTAAATTCAAATTCTAAGCTGGTATTGGAACTGATCCTAAATCTGTTATTAGGTCACCTACAATATTATTCATACACCAAGCTTAATAGTTCTGTACATGGCAATAAATATTACATCCTTGCACTTGCAATTGCCAACTTGTCAATCCAATCCCTACATTTCAGTTGCTGAACATGCACCTACTGTTTTCTGTGACAACTTAAGCATGGTATCTCCTACCAGATTTCATCTTCTCAAGGACATACTCAGTTCAGAATTGCACTGTTTCATCCCTGCTGAGTTTGCAGGGGGTTGTGTCAGTGTAAACATATTATTTTAGTTAGTTTCTTGTTAATTCATTCCAGTTTTGAACAACCACTGCAAACTGAACACTGCAGAGCAACAGCTGGTGACAGCTGCCGACCTGTAAGGATTTGATAGGTACGTGTAATACACAGTTCTGCAACAGTCCAATGTAACTTGGTCTATAAATAAGCTCCACCTCTTGTACTAACATTTTTTGAGAAAAAACATAAGATTTCCCCTGCAGTCTGTCTCTCTTTTGCTGTTATTTTCTGGAATGGCAACATTGGTTGTTGTTTTCATTTAGAAAGTGAAACATTTGCTTCACCTAGATAGGGGTTAACTTACCGAAAATCAAGATGCTCGTGGTGGGCTAGCAAAGATGGATCAATCTCATATATTTTCTGCCCAGTGCCAGGTAGGGGAATGTTCTTAGGTTTAGCATCATCAGTTGGTATCTTTACTTTCTTGCCAACAGAAACCGATGTCTTGACTGAAATGTCCACTTCTACTTGTGATGATACAACAGAACCTTGCCCATCTTCAATCTGTTTGTAACTGCTATCTGCTTCACCAATATTGTATTTATCCTCATCTTCCATGGTTAAATCCTCTAAGTTCTGAAAATATTAAAACATACATTCAGCAAAGAATATTCAAAGAAATTTATGATCTTCAATATGCATTTGTAAGTTGTAACCACGCTACCCATATTAATCTCACCATCATTTTTAATTTTTTTAATCCATTACTATGTTCTTATTGCTCCCAAATTGATGGTGATGGTATGTTCAAATTGTGACTTATTATTTATCAAGATATTTTTAAGTACTAAGTGTAGTATAAATTATTTACTTTGTATAATGATATTTTAAATATAATCCCACTTCCTGCTATTTGAGATTGATAAACTTTGGGATTATGTTACTTTTTCTCGTAGCACCCAACTATCCACGAGTACAATATACCGAGAGAAACCGAGGCCCCTCTTTCATGAGTTATATTTAAAGAGCCTTGATTGCAAGATTTGGTACAATAAAGGTTGAAGATCTATATGAAAAGTTGGATTTAAATCAAATGGACAAACTAGACGACTATATATAAGAAAACTCACCGAATAGGTTTGAAGTCACATTGAATAAGATAAAATCTATTGCACAATATAAGTGCTGTTTGCAGTGTTTATGACAAAATCAGGATTAAATGTGTTCATTAGAAGATATTAAGTCATTTAAATAGAATTTCTTAATGCACATTGAAATGAGGTTAAACATGTATTTGTCTAATCAGAGACAAATAAGACCCCTAAAATAGACTTCACATATCAGAAATCTTCTAAGAGCAGTTTGAGCTACAGCCTACAGATCATAATCATGCATATAAATATGTCCCCCATGACCTGGAAAACAACATTTGTATAATTATATTTTCCTTTCATCTCCATTCCCAAGAGTAAGTTTTTATAACTGTTTTCCCTCCATCCTCCAGATTCTTTCTTGCTCATAGTTACAATCAGATATGAACACTGCTAAAAACTCCCTTAAAACCACTGATTTTGCAACAAAAAAGGCACCAAGTTTTTCATACATTCTCCAGATACATTTGGCAAGAAAATCACAATCCCTATTCAAAGAAAGGCATGTGACAACAAAAACACAATTAGTTATATAAACATATTTGATATGGACTAGCGAAAAGTACATGTGCATCCTCTGAGTTTATATCAGGAGTTTCAAGCTGATCTGTCAAGGATGCAGAGTTATCTTGATCTTGAGGAATAAGCACCTTATCAGGCTCGGCGATTGCAGAAGAAAAGGATTCAGAATCAAGAGAAGATTTTACAGCAAGGATTTTCCCTGAAAGAAGCCATAAATTATATCAATGAGGTGTTTTAAAGCCAATGTAGATTTATCGGTGCCACACACAAATTAGATTGAATTTTGTGTTCATCCAAAGTAAATTATATATATCATATTATTTCCTTTTCCTATTTTTATTGCTGTCACACTGATGTATTAGTAATTTAGAAATCAAATATTAATAAATAAATATTGATAGCCAGTTTCAGAAATCAAATGATACCAATTTCATGCTATGATGGTTTGTCCAATCATAGTAATTCAGATTACAGATCATTTCCCTTTCACCATCAAACCTCATACTCATACGGTATGATTCAATCATTCAATTCATATTCTGAACAAAAATAAAAAACAAAGCAATGGGATTTAACTACAAATTTTGCAATGCAGTAATATATCTAAACAAAACATATATGGATGTCGAATTACTTTCACCCACATTGAAACTCAATGAAACCGATTCTGTCTAGAGTGAATCCAAAAGAATGACTTTATTACAATAGCAAATATTATAATTCTTTCTGTAGTTAATAAAATGCTAATGCATAAATTCAAATGTTTGGTTTATCAGTTAAACCAACCTACAGTGGCTTCTCATATTATAAGAATGCATCCTCTAACCGATATAACTATTACAATGACATGTTCGATTTCACATGGAAGCACACGATGTTCAAATTATGACTCTGACTTACAATTCACAGACATAACCAATGTTCACATTCTTTCCTTAATTTGCATATGACCAACGAATTATGAAACCGCAGATAAACCTTATACTTCATGCAGTCGAGAAAAAAATCTATTATCACAGTTCCTAACAGATGCATCCACCTTCACAAAACATAGATACGCACGTCAACATCGTTAATTTAAAAAATGCCCCGAAATTGAACACGTAATCGAAGTCCAACCTACGAAGTAAACAGTATCACCAGAATCTCACGTTTGAGCTTCACTAAGTTACCACTCGCCTCTGTCACGAAATCAAAACCAAACGAACAAGTTTCCGCCGATGCATGTGCTTTAACATTTAAGAAAGCAAATAACAATAATAACAACAGTCATAATAGCAACAGTAAATATTATAATGATGAAGAAGATAACAACAAAACCAATAAAAATCAGTAAAATCCAGAATTAGCAAGTACTACTCACATAACTCCACAAGAGAGGAATGTAACGGAATCGTAAAAGCATAAGGCTAAAATGAGGAAGGTTCATTACGAGAGAAGTTGTTCTTTCTGGGAAAAACGGGAAGAGACGCAGCCCTGCGATCGCCACGGAGGCTGGAGTTGTGCAGCGAAGGAACAACCGGAAATCGAATTCCCGAGATGGTGTAAACCATATTTGCCTAAGCTTAGGGTTCAGTCTCTGAGATTCAGGGGAGAAGAAGAAGTGAATGTTCTCTCAGAAACAGAAGAAGAGATCCACTAGAGCGCGAGTGTGTTAAGTTCGAGGTGCCGAGAGAAGCGTGACATGATGAGAACGAATGATATTATATATAGTAATAAGTATAACTAATAATATAATAATATATACTAAATTCTCGGGGCAATAAACGAATTTATTTAAATAATGATAAAGAAAATGAATTGTACGGTGATGGATGGCGCTATCTGGGTGGAGGTGACAACAGTGATGCTGCTACGTGTGTTCTGCTTACAGTCCAAACAGCATGGTGATGAGTGTTATGGGCCCCACTTCGCTTAGTTCTATAATTCTGATCGTTCATCATCTACGCCAAACAAATGACCAGGCCCTGCTTGGATATGAAATGTCTGGCTATAGACGCGCTTCTCAGATATTTTTTCCTACCTTTCTCGCTTCTGTTGCGTTCTCTCCTGCCCCGTGTATCATAAAGGGTAGGGAAAAGTTTCATGAACGAAATGTAAAAGGATCTTTTGCGTTTTGACGAGTATATGCCTTGCGTCCCCTTTCTCAAACATTGCTCACTTAACTCATATAAAGATCTAGTTTGCTTTATAGAGAAATATCAATAAGTTACTTTTCGAATTTAATGAAAAAAGTGATACTTCTCTTAATACGAAAATATTAGGAAATAAAATATGATTTCTAGGGAAATCACATTCTGTAAATTCCTTGAATTATTTTAATGGAAGTATGATTCTGAAGATATCTATAGGAATAAGACAGGGACTTCTGACTCAACTAATGGCTATATTCCAACAAAGGATAAGAGACAAAAACTTGAATGATGTCGTGAGACGCGTCTTCGAAAGTATAATTATGCTTTTCTGGTTCGATAGTCCTTTCCTGTCTGAGATGCAAGAAGGTTAAAAATGCAATATGCTGATCCTGGATAACATTTGACACTTTATCATATTGTTTATTTTTATTCGCAACTTAGATACTATCGTCGACCATGAGTCATACTGTATAAAAAAGAATGCCATCAGATGAGAGGTAACTTTTTAATTACAACAGTTATACAAAAAGAAAGAGTATTAAATCAGGATTTTAGTTATTATGAGAAATCAAAATCTAATTACAGTTATTTAATGGTTCATATTATGTGTTTCGTTTAAAATCTAACGTGATTTTCTAAAGATTTTACATCATCAAAATATACGAGAAATTTATAATTATATATCTATATATAATTTAAACTTAAATTAAAAATAATAACTGTAATTATTTTTTTCCATGGTAATTAAAACTTATCACTTAATACACTCTATATATAATAGTGTCTAATATATACATGAAATGATATTTATATATTTTTTATTAAGTATTATATCATTTAATAAATTTTGATTGAATAATTATTTTCTCAATATTTACGATTTCTTTTTACTTATACCATGTTTATAAAATAGTTATATACAAATATAAATAATTTGGCTGATAGTGTAACAGTTATTAACCAATAATTGGTATAATTCAATAATTGGGTTACTAAAAAGTTACATAAAGTTTTCAAAGTATTTCACATATCATAGTTTCAACCATTTTACGAATTTTTTTTATCTCACTAAAATTAAGAAATTTTAATCATATATATATATATATATATATATATATATATATATATACATTAAATTGAAGTATATAATGAATAATATCATTAATAGGTTAACAAAATTGAAGTATATAATGAATAATATCATTAATAGGTTAACAAAATTGAAGTATATAATGAATAATATCATTAATAGGTTAACAAGGTATATATATATATATATATATATATATATATATATATAAGTATTTTTATTTTTAACTATTGAATAATATATAACTTATAAATATATGGAAATCATTAATTATGAGTTTAATTTAGTTTTATTTTTAATTTTAAAAATAATTTTAGAGATAAAAATTATTTGATAATTTAATTTTTGAAAATTATTTTTAACGGAAGAAAATGATATAAATAACGAAAGTTAAAAAATAATTTTAATAATTTTATTTGATAAAAATAATTATTATTAGTAAAAATATTAATATTTATTAATAAAAAAAATATTTTATAAGTTTTATATTTTATTTTTAAAAAATAAAATATAATTTTTTTTTAACAAAACAGTTAAACAATTTTTTTAATTTTAAAAAACTTAAAGAAAGAAAGCTATTTTTAAAAATATAACCACAACGTCTCTTTTCATTCAACATAAAAACATAAGCACACTTATTTTTTTTTATTAAAAAATAAAAAATAATAAAAATTTACCGTACACAAAGTTAATAACAAAACATTAAAATTATAAACTAAAATTTAATCTTAATCCTATTTCTATAATTTTTTTATAATCAATCTATTTGATGGTACGGTAAATTCAGTTTTCTCAACAAAAAGACAATAAGAAAATATGAGAATCTTAATTGAAAACAAACTAAAATAATTTCAATTATATATTTTTTCACATGGACAGTTATATTTTACTATATTTTATAGATTATTTTTGTTGTTGGCTAGGGAATAGATAGGGAAGAAAAAAATGATTTAACTTAAAATATTATTTATGGTATTATTTTATATCGCCATTAAAATTACTTTTAATTATTGTTTATTTTACATTTATTTTTTCATTCTATTATTGTTATAATAACTCGTATATCACCCACATTTATTATTAATTTTTGTTAAATTTAAAACTTCTTTCCAATTGAATGACTTCATGCTCATAGAAACGAATTATATAAAATAAATATTAATTAAATTCTAAGCAAATATTAATGATTGTAGATTCTACAAAAATTGAAATCCTCATGCTAATGATAAAATAATTAAGATAAGATTTTGGTCTTGATGATAAGACAAAGTCCTAATGAGATAAATTCACTTCCTCTTTATTTTAATTTATAGAGCTTCATATGAACGAAGATGCTGTTGGTGTCCAAGTCGAAATAAAGATTGCAGAAATTTATTTTTATGCTAAAAATTGGGGACCACTTTGTGTCTATTAGGCTCTTAAGTGGAGATATCATCCAAATACTCTGCACAGATATATGGTTGCTAGCGGGAAACAATGTCATAAAATTTTTGGCCACTTTTCTTTTGAACCATCTGGATCAATCAACTAAACTCCATAAGACATTAAACATGTAGATGTCAGTCGTACCTTTTCAGGGACACCTAGTCCTACCTATCCTTGTAATTCTAGAAATCTCAAATGGAAGAAAAGTGGGTTAAAATGAGCTCAATTTTTCAAGTTAACAAAATTTTTCATTAAAGTCTAAGAGATAGTATAATCATGATCACTTCGTTGAATGCATTTCATGATAGTTACCATTGCACATATACACCAATTGTTATCCCTTACTAACGTAACAAACTAACAATTAATATTTGTAGAAAAAGTTTTAAAATAATATATGAAAAAAAAATAAATATCTAAATTTAATGTATAATAATCTAAATTAAAATCACTTTAAAAATATATTTTATATAGACTAGACAGCACAAAAACGGATTAAATATGTAAAACTATGATTCTATCCTACTATTTTTTAAGTGGATTGATAAATTGTCCATCTAATTATTTTGTGATTCCTACTTATTAATATAAATTCTTATTCTTAAAACAACTTTTTTTATTATATAGTTGATGTTTGTTAATATTACTAAAAATTCAGTTATTGAGATTAATGTTTATATACAAGTGATTGATTGATAAATGAGAATTAGGTTAGATATCATAATCCCAACATTATTGTTTATGAATCTTTTCTTAAATTGTCTAAATATAAATGAACATTTTAGCGGAGAATAGAAACGTTATACAAATAAACATATTAGCCAAATATTATTTTCCTTCAACTCCTATCCTACAAATCAATTTAAAAAAGAAACATAGAGAAGTCTTGTGCTCATTACGGCATCATATATTGCTCCAAAAACTTGCTTAAATATCTTGTCAGCTTCTTTGGTTTTTGGATTCATCTATGGCCCATTGTTTAAACCATAGAACAACTTTTTAATAATTCTAACACTGCATATGACAACTTTATGATTTACAAAATTTATAGAAATGATGGATTACTATATAAATTTTACCTGTAACATGGAAAGCCAAAGTACCATAGTTAAAATGAAATAATCCATACATTTGAAGCCAAAGGGGGTTGGGGAGATACAAAGAATCCTATCTCATTTTTTTTGGAAGTTGAGGAATTTTATGCTATAAGCAAAAACAAACAAGAAAAGGAGAACCCAGCCTAAGTGTACAACAGCAACCACTGGAAGAAAGTGATAGTCATAACCCAAGTTTTCCTTAAGCAGTTCCTTCAGCCCCATGCTTTCAGCTCCTGGAATTTCCACTTGTGCATTTTCATCACCAAGTTGAGAGGTAACAATGCCATACAATGTCCAAGAATTAGGAGAAGCCCAGTAGAACCATCTCCACCATACAGGAATTTGCTGTAACATTTAGGAGGAATATTTATGCCTAAAAAACATCGTTTCAACATCAAAATATATCAAAAAGGGAAGATAAATGTACCGTCCTAGGAATGATAAAGCCACAGAACGCGTTCCAGATGGTCAAGAAGAAGGAATTAAAAGTGACAGCAATGTGGAAACTCGGCGTTAGGGCAACAATCATCATCCCATATAGCGTGTAGTAGATCAAACACATAAGCATGATGTAGAAGAACCAAAGAAATTTCAATGCCTTCCATTCAAACCCCATCATGGAGTAGATGAAAACACTGTAGATGGTCGTTTGAATAGCGTTATAAATTGCCTCTACTGCCACCTACGCCATCAATTAGTGCATCAGAATAAAAAATCTATCAAGAAAAGCTGTTCTGAATGAACAAACTAACTTCAATTGTTATAAAGTTGTGAATCACTATAAATATAAGAAAAGAAGATTTAGATATCTCTTGCTTTATGTTTCTACCTGACTAATTGCATAAGGCAATGTTGAATACATCCCTGCCGCTCTTTCACGATACAATACAGTTCTTTCTATGTCAACAATTGGTTGCACTCCCATAGCGTTCCCGGTTCCAAGGAACATCACAGCAGTGTACATGGCTCCTAAAAGATCAAATAAATCTTGTTGCTTTTCGCTGTCCTCCAAATTTGTTTGGCAAACATCATTAGTTAATATTATAGTTTCAAGATCATAAGAATATAGCAAATACTTATAATTTCAAGATTATTACTTACACATGTTTGGCTTTATTCCAGAAAATTATACCGTAGACTATCCCAACGACAATTGAGAAGAAGAATCGAACGGCATTATACGGAGGATTTCTCCAATATGACCAATATTGTTTCCAAAAACAAGCTTTGCACTGCACAAAGAAGGACTGGGAATATTTGGTTGGGAAGTGCAAGTCATTGGAACCTCGTGGTGGACTACTGAGCTCTTTGATAAGCTCTTGATTCCTTCTGTACAGCGTACAAATTAAAACAATAAATTTATAATTAACAAAGCTAAAATTCTTGCACCATATTACCGTTCATGGTATATAGTAGAAAATCACAAAGGAAGAAACGCACCTGTAAAGGGTTGAGTTATTGTAAATATCGGCAAAATCTATGCCCAGTTGAGCTTCAATTGAAGGAGAGCTGATCTGAAGCATCCATGTGGCAGGATTATAACCATCCTTGATTTTCGGAACCCCTGCAATAGCCTACAGCAAAATTTGCATATTTAATACGACGAAAGAGAAGATTGGCACTGGAATCGTAAGTGCCCATTCAAAGTATAAAACAGAGGTATCATGAAACTCTTGCAATGATAGACAGAAAACATTCAATACTTCAAAATATTCTACGAGCTTCTGTGAATGGTGACCAAGAGGTCCAGCATAGATAATTTGTCCTCCACTTTTCATCAACAGTAACTGCGGTAACGAAGAAATCAAATTTAAACATTAAATGCAGTATAGATAAACAATAAACTAAAGAAATAATAATACATTTTGCATAAATAATCATTTCATATTACAAACTTTACCTCATCAAAAGCTTCAAAAATGTCTATGCTTGGTTGATGAATTGTGCAAACAACGGTTCTCCCAGTGTCCACTGTATTTCTCACAGTTCGCATTACAATAGCAGCAGCTCTAGCATCAAGGCCAGATGTTGGTTCATCCATGAAGATAATTGAAGGGTTGGCAACCAATTCTACCGCAATGGTAAGCCTTTTCCTTTGTTCAGTTGTTAGACCATTTATTCCTGGAAGACCCACAAGTGCATCTTTGATTGAGTTAAGCTCAATCAACTCCATAATTTCTTCAACAAACATCTATCACCAGACAAAATTTAATCAAAACTAAAATTAATTGATAATATTAGCCTATTATATAACAATTTAAGTTTGTCCCCACGCACCTTTCGCGTTTGTGCATTTACATCTGAAGGTAGGCGAAGCCATGCTGAAAATAGTAGTGATTCATATACAGTAACATTCGGAGAATGAATGTCATTCTGTTCACAATAACTACTGACACGAGCAAATGTTGCTTGGTTCTTTGGATAACCTGATATGCTAATATTTCCTTCTATGTATCCACCTGTTTTTCTTCCAGCTAATACATCCATAAGGGTTGTCTTCCCAGCACCACTAACACCCATAAGTGCTGTCAATACACCTGGTCTAAAAGCACCACTGGCATCGTGCAGTAGTTGAAGTTTATCTTCATCGATTCCTTGACTTTTCATTTCCTAGTACCATAAAAAACTAAATCTCTTCAATGTTCACAGGAGGTTCAAAGTTTCCATGAAAAGTTTAGAAATGCTTTTGTTAAAGATATAAAATTGTTGATAAATAAGTATCTAAATAAAACATTGTATGTATATTATCACTTAATGTATTTTTGGAATGAATGATACATGATCAATTTATAAGTATCTAGACATGGTCTCTCAACTACATGCATTAAATACAATCACTACCTTTTAACTACATACATTCAATATAACCACTATCTCTATAACCATTATCTCTCAACTACATACATCTAATGTTTAACTAACAAAATCCCCCTATTAACTTAAATGTTTTTCTTGTCCTTCATTCTAAGCATCTTCTTGCTGTTCTCGAACAGAGTGGTCGGCAGTGACTTCGTGAATATATCTACAGCTTGTACTCGGCCGACGTGCTCTAACTCTACATTTCCTTCTTTCACTTGTTTTCGGATGAATTGAAACCGAACATCAATATGCTTGCTTCTCTCATGATTGACCGGGTTCTTTGCCAATTCAATGACCGACTTGTTATCAACTTGAATTACAATCCCTTTTTCTTGCTTCAACTCTAACTTGCTTAGAAGGTTTCTAAGTCAAATTGCATGACAGACACTCCAGGATGTTGCAATGTACTTGGTTTCGCAAGTGGACAAAGTTACAATGAGCTACTTTTTTGAAAGCCAAGTGAACGGTGTATTTTCCATGAGGAATACATATCCAGACGTGATTTTCCGATCATCAACATCTCCACACCAGTCACTATCCAAGTAGCCTACTAGTCGGTAATCATCCGTCCTAGTATACATTAGGCCAAGTGACACTGTTCCTCTCACATACCTTAGAATTCTCTTTAGTATCTTCCAATGAGTATACCTTGGTTCCTCCATATACCGACTTGCTATTCCAACCAAGGTTATCGAATCGAGAGTCTACGTTGACTCGTGAGAGCTTCGTAGACTCGACTCAGTAACTCCGACTCGTAGACTCGTAAGAGTCTACTTCATATGAAAAATTTTATATAATAATATAAATTCAGAATTTTATCATCAAAATAAATCCAATAAATAAAATAGAATAAATTATATAAATACTATCTATTTAATAAATAAATAAATAAATAAAAAATATAAAGATTTTTGTTAATGAATAAAAAAAAAGTTTCGGTTCGAAAAAATGCATTGCATTTTAGAGAAATGCAACGCACATCCTCACACTCACTTACGCACTACCCGCAACGCGAGGCGAGGCGACCGGAGCTGCTACGCGAGACGACCGGAGCTGCAACGCGAGACGATTGGAGGTGCGACGCCATTGAGCTGCGGGGGCGAAAACGCGACGCGATGACGAGGAGCTGCGAGGGCTGAGCTGCGGGGGGCGAAAACGCGACGCGACGCGACCAGAACTCAACGCGCGACACCAGAGCTGCGGGGCGACGGAGGTTAGAGCTAGGTTTTCATCTTTGATTTTCTCTTCTTCTTCGATTAGGGTTTTTGATTTGGGTTTCAATCTTTAATTTCGTTTAGGTTTTCAATTTGGGTGGTTAGGGCTTTTGTTTGGGTTTAAAATCGAAATGGTAACGAAATTTTTGTTTGTCGTTTCGTCCTTCTTCGGTGACTCGCTCTCAAACTCGCGAGTCTATTCCGAGTCAGCGAGTTTATTCCGAGTTCACTCCGAGTCAAACAAAAAACGAGTTTATATGCGAGTTAACCCGGAAACAATAGCTTGACTCGCTGACTCGTACGGGTGTACGAGTCAACCCGCGAGTTCGATAACCATGATTCCAACACTTAGCATTAAATCTGATATGGTATTTGTAAGATACCTAAGACTTCCAATCAAACTTCAGTATTTGCTCGCATCAACTCGGTCTCCATCTGCATACTTAGAAAGTTATGTACCAGGTTCCATAGGGGTGGAAACCGTGTTGCAACTTGTCATCTTAAAATTCTTCAAGACCTCCTCAGCATATCTTTCTTGCGACACAAAGCTGTCATCCTTTTCCTGAACAATTTTTAAACAAAGGAAATACTTCATAAGACCCAAGTCAGTCATCTCAAACTCTTTCTTCATCACTTCTTTAAACCCTTCAATCAGTTCAACATTATTCCCCATGAAGATAAGGTCATCAACATATAGGACAACAAACATCACATCTTCTCATTTCTTCTTTATGTATAGAACATGTTCATAAGGACACTTTTCATATTCATTCCTCTTGAAGTAAGTGTCAATTCTTCCATTCCATGCTCGTGGAGCTTGTTTTAAGCCATAAAGGGTCTTCTTCAATCTCAGCACTTTCTTCTCTTTGCCTTTTCGCATGTATCCGAGTGGTTGTTTAACATATACTTCCTCCTCCAAGACTCCATTCAGAAATGTCGACTTCACGTCCATCTGCAAAATTGTTCATCTGTGTTAAGTGGCTAAGGAAATCAACAGCCTAATTGTTTCCATCCTCGTCACTGGGGCGAATACTTCGTCGTAGTCTATTCCTTCCTTCTGCTTGTACCCCTTCACTACGAGTCAAACTTATATCGCTCAACTTCTCCTTCAACATTTGTCTTTTTCTTGTACACCCACTTTACACCAATAGGTTGTGCTCCTTTAGGCAAATCAGTAAGCTCCCATGTGTTGTTGCGTTATTGTCCCGTTATCTTCGTCCATTGCCTTTTTTCACCTTTTCTCCTGCACGACCTCTTCAAAACTTAAATCTTCTGAATCTACTAAGAAGCATACAATATGCACTTTGTCAGTGGAGTTGCACATATCTTATAAACTTCACGCTCTGGGCTGTAGAGGTTAATCTTCTTCATCAAAAGTCTCATGATCTCTCACAGTATATGGTGTATCAACTTCTGAGCTTCTACTTCCTATGGACTCCTTCTCCAGGTTGTTCCATCTCCACTCGCTTTCTTCATCAATTTGAATATCTCGGCTCATAATGACCTTCTTAGTTATTAGGTTAAACAACTTGTATGCCTTGATTTTTTTATCATACCCAATAAACACATACTTTTTGCTTCTATCTTCGAGTTTGGTTTTCTGTTGAGTTGGAACATAACCATAAGCTATACTGCCGAACACTTTAAGGTGAGACACATTCGACTTTCTTCCACTCTAAACTTCTTGTGGTGTCTTCTCGTTTAGATTAGCATGTGAACATCTATTTTGCACATAGATGACACATTGCATTACTTCTGCCCAGAACTTCTTTGACACGTTCTTGCTTCTCAACATTGTTCGAACCATGTTAAGAATGGTTCGATTCTTCCTCTCGGCAACTTCGTTTTGTTGGGGTGAGTATGGTGCTGTCAGAAATCTCCTTATCCCTTGCTCCTCGCAACACTTCATGAGCTCGGATGAAATGAACTCGCCTCCTCAATCTGACCTAACAGATTTGATAGACATGTCAGTCTCTTTCTCAACCATTGTTTTAAATATCTTGAACACCTCAAACACCTCAGATTTCTCCTTCAAAAAATATACCCAGGTTTTTCTTAAAAAATCATCTATAAAAGAAATGAAATACCTTTTTCTACTAAAAGACTTAGGAGTAATCGGTCTACAAAGATCTGTGTGAATCAATCCGAGTTGTTCGTTTGCACGGTACTCGGCAGTCCTCGGAAATGAGGTCCTCGGATGCTTCCCCAGCACACACTCTTCACAAAATTTCTTTTCAAATTTCATAGACGGGAGTCCTCGCACCATCTCTTTCTTTACCAACTCGGTCAGCCCGCCAAAATGCAAGTGGTCAAACCGAAAGTGCTACATCATTGTTTCATCCTTCACGCCAAGTTCAAGCACCTCTCTTGAAAACATTATGTTCTTCTTCATTTCTACTCGGGAAATCAAACGATCTGTCTTATCCTTCAAGTATAGTACTCGATCTTTCATCATAATCGAGTAGCCTTTCTCCATCAACTGACCCATGCTCAATATGTTGTTTTTGAGATCGGGTATATAATACACATCTCTGATTTCTCCAACTCGGCTATTCTTCTACAGGTACCAGATTGTACCTTAGCCTCTTACTGTCACCTTTGATATGCATTTCCAAACGACATGTGTCCGGCCTTAACTATAGTGAGCTCCTTAAAAAGGTTCTCGTCCCTGCACATGTGGTTACTTGCTCCTGTATCAAGATATCAAATCGAGTTGTCAGAACAGCTCGGACTTAGCTCGACACCTGAACTTCTCGACATCATCAATACTCCTTCTTCCTTAGCATCCTCAGAGAGGAGGTTTGTTTCCTTCTTGCTCTTAGATCGACAGTTCTTCGCGAAATGCCCCACCTTCCCACAATTGTAACATTTGATACCTGAATAACAGTCCTTAGCAAAATGACCATACTTCCCACATTTGAAACACTCAACTCCGAAATTGCTTGACTAATCACCTCGGCCTCTACCGCCACGACCTTTGACTTGCTCCTTACTTCTTTCATATCCTCCTCTGCCTCTACCACTACCACCTCAGTCTTGAGTGTTCTGAGTATAAAGATTTTTCTTCTCCTTTAAGGTTGTCTTTGCTTGGAGTGCTTGATCAAGAGACTCCTATTTCTTCTTCCTTCTCCGTTGCTTATGTGCTTTAAGCGACCGACAAGCTCTTCCACCGAGAGCACCGACAAATCCTTGGACTCCTCTATTGCACAAACGATATTCTCAAAGTCATCGGTTAACGACCTTAAGATTTTCTCCACCACTCGGCAAGTGGGCAGCATCTCTCCATTTCTTCCGAGTTGATTCACCATAGTCCCATCACGAGAGACGTACTCGACAACCCCTTCGACCTCTTTCATCCTCATGCTTTCAAGCTCGCCTCTGAGAGTTTGAAGCCTGACTTGCTTCACGTGATTATCTCTTTTATATGTCTTCTCTAGAATATCACACGCTTCTTTTGAAGATTTAACATTTTTTATTTTCTCAAAGTCGGACTCATCAACAACTTGGTCATTTTGTACTTTACCCGTGTTGCTC